TAGAAACGTACAAGACTAGCTGTGTTTGTGTGTGCTTCACATTCCCCTGTGCAGCTAAGCAGTGTGGCAGAACAGTGTGTTAATGCACACCGAGATTTCATGGGAATCTTTCCTGGAGATACTCGCCAATCCTCTGCTGAAGGTTCCTTAGCAGAGCTGCTTTGTTCCTTCTCCCGCTGTAGAAAACTCCTATGTCAATCGGCAATCACTTGTGCAGGGACCAAAGCGGCACACAGGCAAGCAGCATAGGGACCTGGTCTGAAGCCACATGCATGCAGGAGATGCTCCCTTGCTTACCCTCAGGAGTGAGATATCAGCTTCAATGATCCCCTGCCTGTGGAAAATGGGGCAGAATTCACAATATTGTCCCTAGTCACCTGCACTGATACCCTTAAAAAAACACCGGTATCTTTTGCCCCATCTTGAGCGCCACCCCCTTTCCCCAGGCCAAACTTGCCATGCTTAGGGCGTTCACTTAGCTGTGTACTTACCAAGGGACAATGACAAACTAAGTCATATTTTTAAAAAGATGCATTTTACTATAATGATTCAATGCCGTGCGTGCACTAATAATCATGCTTCTATTTGTTTCTTGTGCTTCTGCAGATGTTGCCTTAACGGGAACTTCCTACACACCAGCGGAGCGCCTCCACTGGATAAGGAAGCAACCAAGGAGGAGCAAGGAGAACATGTTTTGAGAGGTGCTCCAATCCTCAGAGGCCAAAAAACAAGAACACAGGGCATGGAGAGAGAAAAATTTAAAATAGAAAGGCAGGACAGAAAGGAGAGTGAGGAGCGCATTGTAAAGGGCCAGGAGCAGATGATAAAAGTGATGGAGGAGCAAACAGAGATGCTGAAGTCCCTAATCATGCTCCAGGCAGAACACGTGTGCTCTCCCTGCGCTGCAGCCAATACAGAACTGCTTTCCATGCCCTCCCCAAACTCCTCCACTTGCAACTTCCCAGAACATCTCAGTACCCTGTTCACTTTCCCACTTCGGACAGCTTCCAAAATGATAGTTGGACTTACACACATATGTGCCTATACTGCCCTTCATTATTATCTCCCTTCCCACCAAGCATTTTGTGTGTGTTGTTAATTGGTATTTAATAAAAACACACACTCTGAAAGATAACCAATATTTATTTGTCTCCTACACATGGTAGTTGCTGTTGGAATTAATACACAGTGGCAATTTGATCATCTGCTGAGTACAAATCATGGTCAGGAATCATCAAAATTTTCATGCAAGGCAGCAAGTTAACAAAGCATGGCAGAGTGCTGTATAGAAAGACATATTATTGGAGCTCATTCCCAAAATAGTGCCTCAAAGCCTCCCTAATTTGAATAGCAACCCATTGTGCCCCTCTAATAGCCCTGGTATCTGGCTGCTCAAAATCAGCTGCCAGGCGATCTGTCTCAGCACTCCATCTGGGGGGAAAACTTCATCCTTAGCCTCACAAATATTATAGAGCGCACAGCAGGCTGCTGTGACTATGGGAATATTTTCATCATTTAATTCTGACCTGCCATAAAGGCAGTGCCAGCGCGCTTTTAAGCTGCTAAAGGTACATTCTATGGTCCTCCTGCACCTGCTCAGCCTATTGTGGAAGTGCTTCTTGCTGCTGTCCAGGTTTCCTGTGTAAGGCTTCATGAGCCATGGAAGTAAGGGTCTCCTAGCATCACAATGGGCATTTCACCATTCCCCCATTGGAATCTTCTGGTCTGGAAAGAAAGTCCCTTCTTGTAGCTTTCTGTACAGGCCAGTGTTCATGAAGATGCGTGTGTCATGCACCTTCCCAGACCGGGTCCCCACATTGATGTTAGTGAAATTGTCACAGTGATCCACAAGCACTTATAACACCTTTTTACTGATGTACTCCATCGCAAGATGATCTGGGGCCAAAATCGGGATATGCGTGCCATCTATTGCCCCACCACAGTTAGGGAATACCATTGTCAAAGCCATCCAGTATTTCGTGCATATTGCTAAGAGTCACAGACTTTCGTAGCAGCATGCGATTAATGGCTCTTCACACTTGCATTAATGCAGCTGCAACAGTGGACTTCCCGACTCCACACTGATTCACTACTGATTGGTGGCAGTCTGGAGTTACCAGTTTCCACACAGTGATCAGCATGCGGAGCTCTCATTTTGGTGTCCTTGTGCCGCACTACTGGGGCAAGCTCTGCACACAGTTCTAGGAACATGGTTTTCCGTATCCAAAAGTTCTGCAGCCACTGCTCATCATTCCAGACATGTATAATGATGTGATCCCACCACTCAGTGCTTGTTTCCTGAGCTCAAAAGTGATGGTCCACCATGTTCAGCTGCTCTGTGAATGCCAAAAGTAATCTGCTGTTTCTTTCCATGGCACACAGCAGGTCAGACAACTCTGATTCCTGTTCAGAGTGGGTGCTCATAATATATTGCATGATCAGATGTGTTCATAACACTGACTACAACAGTAGGGAGCAGTGCAGGATCCATCCTTTCAGATAGAGATGGTGGGCGGGCGCACTGTAAACAGGGGTTGTTGAAAAATGCCATGAAATGCAGTCGGAAGCCCAGGGAGATGGGATGGAAAAACTGCATCATGGGACATTGAGCCCGCACCCATGATGCACTGTGATCCACTCTGCCTTCCCACAAGTCCTAGCTGCACAAGGTGGCAATTAGCACAGTGGGAGAGCTCTGTTGATGCTATAGCACCAACTGTGAACACGCTCTGTTGACAGAAGGAGCGTTGTGTGAACATACACAATGTAATTATACTGGGTTTTGACTGTCAGCATAACTTGTGTCAACACAACTCTGTAGTGTAAGTCAGGATTAAACAAAGACTGTGAATGGCTATCCAACTACAGAAGCAGTTTCTCCTCCCTTGGTGTTCACACCTCAACTGCTAGCAGAGCACCTCACCCTCCCTGATTGAACTAACCTCGTTATCTCCATACTGATTTATACCTGCCTCTGGAAATTTCTATTACTTGCGTCTGATGAAGTGGGCATTCACACACGAAAGCTTATGCTCCAATACTTCTGTTAGTCTTAAAGGTGCCACAGGACCCTCTGTTGCTTTTTACCTCTTCTGGCTTACTGTCTGAACCCTCACTAGAGAGCAGAGGGAAGGGGCATAACATGGCATGGCAGTGGGAATACTTCCTGTGGCTGGTAGAAGCTCAATGCAGAGGTCTTGGTACCAAGAGGAGGGGACTCGGGTGCACCTGACATGCAGAGGTCTCTGGAATGGCGGGATTCCGCTGGTACCAATTGTCCCAGTGTCAGTAGTGGTGCCGGGGTTGGGGGCAAGAGGGCGGAGACGGAGATCTTGGTCTGCAGCTGTCTTTCAGGTACCATGTGAGCTGTCGCTGGTGAAGTGGACTTGCATGGACTTTTTAAGAGTGTTTACACTTGTCCTTCGGAACCAGTGACTCGGTGCCCATGTCCATCGGGTCCATGAGTCTGTCAGTGGTATCAGTACCCGTTGGTCTTTGTGAGGCATGGTTGCCAGGCTGAGATGGTCTTGGAGCCGGCAAGATACCAAGCGAGATGGTGATCGCTTACGGCTATCTCAGGGTTCACTAGGTGGACTTCCCATTCTCCTTTTAGATGATTTGTGAGAGGGGTCCGCAGCCTGTTTCTTCAACCCACATCCCTTAGATGTAGAAGGTTATGAAGACTCATGTCTACCAGGCAACTGGGGCCGGATTGATGCCTCTTCAAGCAGAGCTCTCTGTCTTCCTGGAATCTTGGCCGGAGTTGTTGGCAAAGACTACACTTCTGCTGTATATGGCCTTCCCTGAGGCAGCGAATGCACTGAGAGTGTTTACCTGCAACCAGGATCGCCTCTGTACACGTGTGGCACTTCTTGAAACCTGGCAAACTGGACATACCCCATTGAGGGGAAAAAAGCAGGAAAAATGCAGTCTCTTTTTCTCTCTCTTTTTTTTTTTTAAGGGTAAAATAAGAACGAAGATGACGAAAAAAACCACTACAACTATAACTTAAATAGGAGGCTAACTATAAGTATGTAATACAAGAGAACAATAGTATTAACGGACTGCTAATGGCTCTCTCTCTAGCCAAGGGTGGTTGAGAAGGAACTGAGGGGGGTTAGCCTGGGCCTGTTGACTAGCCTTGTGGCGCAGCATGAGGAGAGATAGCCCGTGTGCCAGCCTAACTGACACTGCTACTGAAGTTCTCCAATCAGCAGCCCAGGTATGCAAGCACACCTACAATTGAGCACCCTTAGGGACACTACTCGAAGAAGTAAACTTTTTTTTTTTTTTAACTTTTTGCATTTGCAAACAAATCACAAGAGCTTGTACATTATGAAAATACAACATATTTACTAATGATTGACATTTTAAATACAAATCTTTATAATCCTATTTACATAATTTATGACTATATATTAACACTTCCAGATTATTCTGGATTATTCTTAATTATTCTAAAAAAAACCTTTTTAATGAAAATTAAGCTTTTATGGCGTTTTGGAAAATATCTGAATGAGATACCCAAAATAATTATTGCATTAATCCCAACTTTATCACTCTCAATACATGTTTTACATACAGATATCATGTACAAACACTTAGGGATTGTCTACATGAACCATTAGACTTCAGCCAGCTGGGGTGTGAATATACCCCACACTAGCTGTTCTTGTGGACCCTGCTCTACATGCTAGCAGTCTGTTAGAGCACTTTGAGCTAGTCGCATTTCAAAAAGGACCAGATCAAAGCATTCTATGAACTGTTAATATACAGCAGCAGGGACAATACGGATAGTCAGACCATGACAGGCTAGTGCCCGGGAGCTTCATACCCCAGGCTGCTGCAGTCTAACTGTTCATGCAGGCTAGCCCTTACATACAGTGTATGTATTTTTACATGTATATATAAAATATATAGCATAACTATGAGCAAATATTGCACTGCAAATCAATTATGGGCACTCAAGTGCATTTGAACAGGAACTTACAAGATACAAATTGGTATATAACTACTTTTTATTTAAATGATGTACACTCACTCGTGTGACCACATAATTTACTGATGAAAACGTATCTTCTTTCATGGTCCCTCCAAAAAGGCACAGATCTATAGTTAATATATGTGCTGCTGTAGACTTGTAAACTAAGTTACTTCAGCTATGACTTAACTCTTAGCATCATTCAGTCAGCAATCAAATACCACTGATTATACTAAATAGAGCACTAGCATGAATGGCATGGCTTTGTAAGAAATATCTCAAAATTCAAAGAAAATGGTTTTCTAAGGTTATGTCTATACTAGGAGTACTACAGCGGCAGTGCTGCAGCTATGCCATAACATAGACGTTTCCTATACCAACAGAAGGAATTTTTCTGTTGATGTAGGTAATCCACCTCCCCTAGCTAGGTTGACCAAAGAATTCATCTATCAACCTAGCTGCATCTAGACCAGGGATTAGGTTGTCTTAACTATGGCACTCAGGGGTGTGAATTTTTTCCACACCCCCTGCGTCCTTCTAAATTTTAACTGTAGACCAGGCTTAAGTCTGGGGTCATTGTTGTCATAAAAAGAACCAGACCTAGTCCTCCAAGCATTTGGAGAAGTTTAGGGGCCAAAAAGGGGAAGGAGGAAAGAAAAGAGTATTGAGTGAAAAGATGAGAAGAGAGAAGTGATGGAAAGATGTAAACAGGATTTTGTGCCCTAATTATTGTAGTAATGATATTACTGGGTTAGCAATTTCTGTATAAAATAGACCACATTATTCGAGATTTTCGTAGAAGATCTGACATAGGAGAATACAACTGAGCAATCAGTTATGCTATATGAAACAGAACTGTACTGAATACTTCTGAGAGAAGATGTAATGTTCCACAGGCTGTTGGAAGAATACAAAATGCAAATTTCTTCACAATTCAGTTTGGGGAGGGGGGAGGGGGAAGAGAGGGGGAGGAGAATCATCTGGCTCAAAAGTCCTAATTTTTTGTTCAGGATTATTTCATATACAAGACCATTTATTATTAAGAACTTAGGAGACACAATATGATCAATCAATTGTTCAGTAAAAACTTGCCTTTAGATGAGTGAAATTTCAGATGAATTTATGGAAAGTATCTGAACTTGCAAGGATTTCACCAGTGATTGTTTTATATTCACAGCTGTCTAGGTTAATATTCTATTTCTCTGACCAGTCACGTCTTTCAATATCTTTCTGGTAAATTTAATCCACTTGAAACAGGTACTGGAATAACAACCCCTTGTTTCTGCAATTCCCGTAAAACATCTAATATTGAATCTAATTCCACTTGAAACTTCTCCAGCTCTTGATTCTTTAATTGGGCAAGTTTTTTCCACTTCTCAACTTCCTGGGTTTGCTGCACTTCAGCAACATGTCGTGTTTGTTGCACTATCTGTAAATGATAAGTTGGTTAACAAGAAGTATATTGATTTCCAGCCATCAGTTCACTGAACACTGTTCCTTAGTTGAGACAGTCCCTTTGCAAAAATACATACTATTGTATTTTTAATTAAGTTTCTGATGTTAAATCCCAAAGCCCACTGCTAATTATTATATGGAAATATTTGTTCTGAACAGTGGAAAGTGTACTTTTGATAGTAGCAATAAATTCCTTTAGACATTAGTGGGGAGAGGAAGGGGGGTTAATACCCAGTTCATATTAAAGAAGCTTCACAAAGATTAATTTATTTTTTCCAAAGGTCCCAATTAAAAGTTTGAGCACTTAAGACTTTATGACAAATATTTAACACTTTTGAATATATCAGGCCTTTATGAGCCTTTTACAAAATTTGCTATATAAATACACACTAATTGAATTAGTAATAGTGTGCAACAAAGACAGACCAAATCTGGATTCTCTTTATGGTACAGAGTCCCTGTGCTATTGCTATACTTTTAAAAACTGCGTAATGAACTCTATAAATGCACCAAAAATAGCCTATAGTGACATTGCCCTGAGGCTGTTGCGGATATGGGTCTGAATGAGTTTTCACTCCTAATCTCACCAAATTCCAACAAGCTAATTTAAACATGTTAGTGTCAAAGGAAATAAAAATCCATATGCCATTCTGAAAATGTAATGGCTATTCCAAACAGAATATTTTATTTTGGAATGTGCTGTATAAAGCAAAGACATGGTTTCAATCCTCTATAATAACAAGATATAAATTGCCAGTGATTTTCATTATTTATGTGTATTACCGTAGTGCTGAAGGGTAAATCTACACGGAAAGCAGCAGCCCACGGCAATGAGTCTCAGAGCCCAGATCTACCGATTCAGGCTCACGGGGCTGATATTACAGTAAGAAGTTCAGACTCCTCAGGTTCTGAAGGCTAGGAATGGGGGCTGGGTTTCGGAAACCCAAACATTTGCACAGCTATTTTTAGCATTGTGGTGTGAGCCCAGTCCGCAGACCCAGGATCTGAGACTTGCTGTTGTGGGCTGCTGCTTATCGTATAGACCAGTGGTTCCGCCCTTGTGCAGGGAAAGCCCCTGGCGGGCTGGGCCAGTTTGTTTACCTGCCGCGTCCGCAGGTTCGGCCGATCGCGGCTCCCAGTGGCCGTGGTTCCCTGCTCCGGGCCAATGGGGGCTTTCCTTGCACAAGCGGTGGAACAAGTTTGGGAACCACTGATATAGACGTACCCTAAGAGCCCTAGTCATGGACCAAGACACCGATGCTTCTTAACATTCAATACATTAGACTGTCCCCTTTTTTATTTTATGTATGTATTTGCACTGATTATTAGGAGTCCCATTGCAGAGGATTAAATTTGCAAGTTGGGAAATAAGCAAAAAAAAAAAAAATGAATACAAACAAACCCCACAATAACTCAGCAAAAGAAAAATTACTTAATAGTGATTGGTGTTTCTTATAGTGTTGCTCCTCTTTTACTGTACAAAAAAATTCTCACAATAAATATTGGGTCAGATTGTTTATTTCAGTGGTGTTACACCAATAAAGAATTTGGCCCTATGGTCCAGACAGCAAGGCAGTAAGGAACTGCCAATCAAGTTAAAGCATAAATCCCACCTGCCCCCACTTGTATCTGAATTGAGGAACTTTCTAGAGTTGAAAAAAAGGGAAATTACCCACTACCTGAGGTTGTAAAGGTGAATGGGTGGGGCCATGAGAGAGGGGAAGAAGAAAACAAATGAGTTACGTTGACTTGCTGTTTTGACTTTTAAAAATTGACAGCACAGGAATAGAAATAGGGCATTCACATTCATGCTAATGAAGAAATAAATTGCTCCGCCATCAGGTCTTATATATTTGATAGGATATAATAACTTTCTTCTTTAAAAGAATCTAAGTGGACAGTTCCACTTTCTCTGGCACAATGGAACTTTCTACCATCAGGATAAAGCTTGTATCTGCAGCAGACAGGGCTTTCTTTGCGGCCAGTCCAAGACTATGGAACAATGCCCAGAAGAACTAAAAACCTCATCACCTTCTACTCCAAGTACAAGATACACCAGGACCGGCTTTAGGCCAATTCCCCGGACTTGGGCCCCGCGCCTAAGAGGGCCCTGCGCCTTAGGCGCCTTTTTAATTTTTAAAATTTTTTTACTCACCCGGCAGTGGTCCAGGTCTTTGGCGGTGGGGGTGGTGGGTGGGGGTGGTGTCCTTCAGTCGCTCTGGATCTTCGGCGACATTTCGGCGGCGGGGGAGATGCGCGGAAGACCTGGAGCGAGGGAAGGACCCCCCGCCGCCGAAGTGCCACCGAAGACCCGGATTGCCACCGGGTATTCGAATCGGGCCCCGCAGTTCCTAAAGCTGGCCCTGAGGTACACTTCAACTTTGCCTTCTCCATTTACCAAAAAAAATATTCCCCAAACCAAACCACTTCATTACACATGTAATCTTCTCCCTGGGAGAGCATATGAGAAAGAATGAACCACATGTGACAGATACTAATCACACTGCTTAATGCACTATTGAAAAGCACTAAGATGCGAAAGTGATGAGGGAAATAAAAGAACCTATACAGAACAAAGTAGAAGTAATTCTTTGGATACAAAATGATCCTTATAAAGTTTACTAAGAACACAGAGGCTAGATCCATCTGTAAAATGAGGTACAGGAATCACTGAGAAATTACTTTACCTAATTGAAATTATATATGGCTGTATGTTAGGTTTTAAAAAGAAACCTTAATTCAGGTACAAGTGGTCTGGAAGTGTTTATGCTTTGACTTCATTGGCAGTTCCTTACTACCTTGCTATCTAGGGCATAGAGCCAAATTCTTTTTTGGTGTAACTCAAAAAAATAAACAATCTGACTCAATATTTACTGCAAGGATTTTTTTGTTTGTATAGTAAAAGAAAAGCAACACTATAAGAAGGAAAAAGCTCCAACTCACCAAACCACCACTGGATAATACAATTGTATAATATTTTTAATTACTACCTTTATCCCAAATCCACAAAAAAAGCTAAAGAAAGTCTATAGGCATTTTTTATGAAAGTACAAGGAGCATATGGGAAATAATTTTGCAAGTTTTTTCTGTCTGTGTAATGTTTAGAAATTGAGCAAACATCTTATGTTGTTGAGCTCTATTTGGGATCTCAGACTCAACTCAGTCAATATTAAGTCGAGCCTAGTCTATAAACACACCGATCCTCATTTTCTAAACCTAGCGTTCCTGTTTGTGCCCATATATGGCAATTTGGCACCTACAACTGTTGTCACTTTGGATTTCTAAGTATTTCATTTGAGATCCAATGTACAAGTTACTTTAATTGCCCCTGTAAATAACTGTGGGTGCAGGATTGCATGCACATTTACATGTACCAGCGGACACAAAAAAGGACAACGACTTTGGTTTATCATGTCATCTGTCAAAATGTATTTATTTGATCCCTGCAGTATGGTCTGCAATAATTTGTACAAATGCTGTCAAAATACATAGGAGATAAGTACAGAGATGCTCTATTTTACCTGCTGAAGTTCTTGTTCTCTTTGTGCGTGTCGGATCTCCATATACTTGATTTTCCTTTCTAGACACAAGAAGTGTTTCATCTCAGGACTTTGCCTCTCTTTAGCCTCTCTCAGTTCTTCCAACAATTTTGCCATCTAAAATTTGAGGTATTATTTGTTACTTGTAATGAAGTAGTGCCAACTTTACTAAGTGTTGTATAAACAAACAGGATTTCCCATCAAAATGCCTTTACATTTTCTTTCACAGTATTTTAAATGTTAGCCCACTGTTTTAATCCAAGCTTATTTTAGAGCCCGAAGGTTCTTGCCTCTTATTACTTTCCTCTATGCTGCAGAAGCCTAATCTCTAGTAGAATCAGACGATTAGGGTTGGAAGAGACCTCAGGGGGTCATCTAGTCCAACCCCCTGCTCAAAGTAGGACCAATCCCAACTAAATCATCCCAGGCAGGGCTTTGTCAAGCTGGGCCTTAAAAACCTCTAAGGATGGAGATTCCACCACCTCCCTAGGTAACCCATTCCAGTGCTTCACCACCCTCCTAGTGAAATAGTTTTTCCTAATATCCAACCTAGACTTCCCCCACTGCAACTTGAGACCATTGCTTCTTGTTCTGTCATCTGCCACCACTGAAAACAACTGAGCTCCATCCTCTTTGGAACCCTGCTCCAGGTAGTTGAAGGCTGCTATCAAATCCCCCCTCATTCTTCTCTTCTGCAGACTAAATAAGCCCAGTTCCCTCAACCTCTCCTCATAAGTCATGTGCCCAGCCCCCTAATCATTTTCGTTGCCGTCCGTTGGACTCTCTCCAATTTATTCACACCCTTTCTCTAGTGTGGGGCCCAAAACTGGACGCAATACTCCAGATGTGGCCTTACCAGTGCCGAATAGAGGGGAATAATCACTTCCCTTGATCTGCTGTCAATGCTCCTACTAATGCAGCCCAATATGCCGTTAGCCTTCTTGGCAACAAGGGCACACTGTTGACTCATATCCAGCTTCTCGTCCATTGTAATCCTGAGGTCCTTTTTTGCAGAACTGCTGCTTAGCTACAAAAACAACAAGGAGTCTGGTGGCACCTTAAAGACTTAACAGATTTATTTGGGCATAAGCTTTCGTGGGTAAAAACCTCACTTCTTCAGATGCATAGCGTGAAAGTTACAGATGCAGGCATTATATACTGACACATGGAGAGCAGAGGGTTACTTCGCAAGTGGAGAACCAGTGTTGACAGGGCCAATTCAATCAGGGTGGATGTAGTCCACTCCCAATAATAGATGAGATGTCAATTCCAAGAGAGGAAAAGCTGCTTCTGTAATGAGCCAGCCACTCCCAGTCCCTATTCAAGCCCAGATTAATGGTGTTACATTTGCAAATGAATTTTAGTTCTGCTGTTTCTCTTGGGAGGCAGGCCAGTCCTCGCTTACAGACAACCCCCCAACCTGAAGCAAATACTCACCAGCAACTACACACCACAGAAACCAATCCCTGTAGCAAACCTCGTTGCCTACTCTGTCCCCATATCTACTCTGGCGACACCATCAGAGGACCCAACCACATCAGCCACACCATCAAGGGCTCATTCACCTGCACATCCACTAATGTTATATATGCCATCATGTGCCAGCAATGCCCCTCTGCCATGTACATTGGCCAAACCGGACAGTCCCTCCGCAAAAGAATAAATGGACACAAATCGGACATCAGGAATGGTAACATACATAAGCCAGTAAGTGAACACTTCAATCTCCCTGGTCATTCTATTACAGATTTAAAAGTCACTATCATTGAACAAAAAAACTTCAGAAACAGACTTCAAAGAGAAACAGCAGAACTAAAATTCATTTGCAAATGTAACACCATTAATCTGGGCTTGAATAGGGACTGGGAGTGGCTGGCTCATTACAGAAGCAGCTTTTCCTCTCCTGGAATTGACACCTCATCTATTATTGGGAGTGGACTACATCCACCCTGATTGAATTAGCCCTGTCAACACTGGTTCTCCACTTGCGAAGTAACTCCCTGCTCTCCATGTTTTAGTATATAATGCCTGCATCTGTAACTTTCACTCTATGCATCTGAAGAAGTGAGGTTTTTACCCATGAAAGCTTATGCCCAAATAAATCTGTTAAGTCTTTAAGGTGCCACCAGACTCCTTGTTGTTTTTGTAGATACAGACTAACACGGCTACCCCCTGATACTTGCTGCTTAGCTAGTCAGTCAGTCCCCAGCCAGTACCAGTGCATGGGATTCTTCCATCCTAAGTCCAGGACTGTGCACTTGTCCTTGCTGAACCTCATCAGATTTCTTTTGGCCCAATCCTCCAATTTGTCTAGGTCACTCTGGATCCTATCCCTACCCTCCAGCATATTTACCTCTCCCCCCAGTTTAGTGTCATCCGTGAACTTGCTGAGGGTGCAATCCATCCCATCATCCATATCATTAATGAAGACTTTGAACAAAACCGGCCCCAGGATCGACCCCTAGGGCACTCCGCTTGATACCGACTGCCAACTAGACATCAAGTCGTTGATCACAACCCGTGGAGCTGGATGATATAGCCAGCTTTCTATCCACCTTATAGTCCATTCATCCAATCCATATTTTTTTAACTTGCTGGCAAGAATACTGTGGGAGACTGTATCAAAAGCTTTGATAAAGTCAAGGTACCGTATATACTTGTTCATTAGCCCGTTCGTTTATAAGCCGACCCCCCCCAGATGGTTAGGTAAAAATAGAAAAAACTGTATGAGCCTTTCATAAGCCGACCCTATATTTCAGGGGTTGTCAAACTTTGGCTCCCGGCCCGTTAGGGTAAGCCGCTGGCGGGTTGGGATGTTTTGTTTACCTGGAGCGTCTGCAGGCATGGAGCCCCTCAGGTCCCAGTGTCCGCGGTTTGCTGTTCCCAGCCAATGGGAGCTGCGGGAAGCGGTGCGGGCCCAGGGATGTGCTGGCCGCCGCTTCCCCCATTGGCCTGGAGCGGCGAACTGTGGCCAGTGGGAGCCTATATCGGCCAAACCTTCGGACACAGCAGGTAAACAAACTGGCGTGGCCTGCCAGGGGGCTTACCCTGAGGCCGCAGGCCAAAGGTTGCCGATCCCTAATTTAGAAGAAGCTATATAGCAGGGGTGGCCAAACTTACTGACCCTCTGAGCCACATATTACAACCTTAAGAAATTCGATAGCAAGGGCACACCTGCTGGAGATCGGGGCTTCTGCCCTGCAGGGTGTGCTTGCTTGGGCTCTGGGCTTCAGCCTTGTGGGAGATGCCTGCCGAGACTCAAGACTTCAGCCCCGCTCCTGCTAAAGCCCTGAGCTCTAGAAGATGCACCTTGTGGGACTGAAGCCCCGGGGCCCCCCTACCCATTAGTCAGAAGCCTCTAGCCCCACTACCCTGCCACAGGGCACAAGCCCTGAGCTCTTCCCCCTTGACCAGTCTGGTAGGCGGAAAATGGGGGGAAGTGTGAGGGGCTCCGCGAGCTGCACTTTAACTGTAAAAGAGCCGCATGTAGCTCATGAGCCACAGTTTGGCTACCCCATATAGGTTACTTTTTAAGTGGTACTGCAGTTCGATACATCTTCGTTCTTCCAGCAGCTATCTACTTGTGGATTTCAAAAAGGTTCCATCAGAACTTTCTAGAGACCTTAATTTCTCAATGTTGTTTTCCTGAAATCAAATACCAAGTATTGCTGTATTCTGAGAGTCCCCACTCACCCCCCATTCTTTACTATTCTGAATTCAAAATAGCCTGAGATGACCAGTTCCAAATACCAATATGTTCACATCCTCATGCAGTACCATGTAGAAGCAGATCCAAAGATAGGGCATCTTCTGGTTAAAGTCTCCAATTTTTAAGTCAAAGTTGTCTTCTAGTGAAGCTAGGAATCTATTTAACAGATTGGCGTAGTTAATGCAGCATGGCTGTGCACAGCAATTCAGAGGCAGATTAGCATTCAAAATACCGGAATTACTTGGGGCTCTCCCAAAGTATCTATATCTTCATTTGAGGCACTGGTAGTTTAAATAGATGAAGCTCAACCCCATCCCTTTTAAGACTGCTAATAGTGATTCCCCTGTAATGACTAATCATATTTGCAACCCCCATTTGCTTTATTTTCCAGTTTAACTAAATTTGGATTCTAGGCATGAAATGGTTAAAAGTTATTTTACAGTAACATTAATAGTTATTACATAAACTGAACAAAAACATGGCAAGTGAAGTTTTACCTTGAAAAGTCGCAGTCTCACAATGATTTCCAATGCAAATTTCTCACTTTACAAATACAATTATGTTTTTTCTAACTGCCAGCCCTTCAAACTCAACCTGGAATCTGTAGTTCAAGTAGGAGTCCTTCCTTCTTACACATCACCACCAGTAATAAAAGGACACACTAGGAACAGATCTTTTGAGTGAGAAGGTGCTATTTTTTACATAGGCATTTTTCAGAGTAGAGCTGAACTTTAAGATGCACAGAAGATGAAGATTAAGCATCACTCGAGGGACATTTTAAAGTTGTGATAAAGCACAAGAACTCCTCTTGCTTGAGCACATACGGTTATAGAAAATGTGAAAGAAATACCAGCAAGGACAATGGGTAAGATTACTAAAATTTCAAAAGTTTAAAACCTTATAATGGAAAAAATAGATTTTATTTTAGCAATACTTCAATGGTACTTATGATTTTAGTGTTAGAGTGACAGAATTAGCAACGTTGTTCAAATGTACTATCCTCAGCAAAGCCTTCAATTGAAAAAAAAAGACAGAAAATTAATCATCATCATGATGGAGGATAGTTTTACAGGTTAGTTATACAGATGGTATAAAAAAAAAAGATAACATAAGTGTGGGACAAATGATCCCTATGGAATAACAAAACAAATACACCTCTACCCCGATATAACACGACCCAATATAAGGCAGGTTCGCATACAACACGGTAAATCTCTGACACGCTGCTTTGAGCAGCGTGTTAAGCGTGCCGGGCCAGTCCGGGGCCGAGGGGTTGGATAAGGAGCAGAGGGTCTCGGGGGCGGTCAGGGGCTCCTCCCCCCCAGGGTTTGGGGGGCAGGAGCTGTGGGAGGGCACTTTTGGGGGCCCCACAGTCCCAGAGTGGCCCGGAGGGTTAGCGGGGGGCCGGGAGCAGCCCGCTCTGCTTCCCTCGCCCCAGCCCCAGCCGTGTTGCTCAGGGGAGGGCGGTTGGGGGAAAGGATTCCCCCCCGCACTCACCAGCAGCGGCGGAAGCAGAGCAGCCCAGCTCCAGTCCGCTCCACTCCGCCAGCTCCCAGCCACAGCGCTCCGTTTCCCGCCGCAGGTGAGTATGGGGGGGGCATCCTTTCCCCAACCTCCCCGAACTCACTGGCGGCGGGAAGCGGAGCAGCTCCCAACTGTGGCGCTCCGCTTCCTGCTGCAGGTGAGTGCAGGACTTTTCCTCAGCCAGCCCCCAGCGACACGGCTGGGGCCGGGGCAAGGAAAGCGGAAAGAAATTAAAGCAGAGGTGTGATAATTGAATATCTGAAAACAGAAAAGGTTTGAAGGTTATAATATGGTCATATTTACCCTGTGAATAGAGGAACAGATAGAGATGCAGACGGAAGATTTATTTCTGCATTGGTAGTGAGATGTACCAGACTCACGCGTCACAAACATTTTAGGACCGTGGCTCCCTTACAGAATAAGTTTCAAATGCAATCGATGTCTATAGATCCATGTTCAACTCCAGGAACATATTCATCAAAAGAGGAATACAATCCAGACAAATGATCTTTGATAGTATTTTGATCACTTTCACTCTTCTCTTTTAAGAAATCTGGTTTCACTGGAAACAACTCGGTAACTCTCTTTTCAGTGTGACATCTCCAAAGACAAAGCTTCTTCATGAATTCCCTGATTTTCTCTTTCGTATCTAGTACATTTGTCTTCCTACCTTACCAGTTCAAGTTCAGTGCATTCAATTTGCCAAATATGCCTACCACATAAGTTAATATAATCAAGAAGTCCACATTACACACACAATCTGCAAAGTCTGTTTTCCAGAGGAGTAAAATTCTGATTTTGTCTTGCAATTTAAAGACATGTTGTAAAACTTTCATACATGACAACACCCAGTCTTCACTGTGAAACAAAAGCTGAGAGTAGTCAGAGCCCATCATTTCACACATTGTACTAAAACCATGTGTGTTCACTACCCAGAATTTTATAAAATTAACAATTTTAACAACAACATTGAGGGCCTTGTGTACTTAAGATTGCAACTTCTTCAATACCAAAAGCTTATGATGACTCATACAGCTTGTCCAAATTGCTGCTAGTACCACTTTTTAAACTCATGTTGCAACCACACTATTCTATCCTGTCACGGCTGCTGCCTCATCAATGTACAGCCCTACATATGTAGCCCACTTAGGACCTTCTGGAATTAGAAAGATCTTGCCAATCGTGTGTGATTGTTTGCATTTTGCAATTTGCACAGCCTCACCATAAGATGTTTCTAAGGCTTTTTGAGGAACAGTTGCTTCTTTAGACATGACTTTTTGTTTGGCACTTTAATTCTGTTGGTTTCTGAAGGAAAACAAGTCGTAGTTCTCATTTACAAATTCCAGGTGTTTGGTTGCTAAATGTCTCTGTAGTTTCCCTGGCCTCACACTTTCATTCATTAATGCATGAAAACAAACATCACATTGTGGCTGTGGACTTTCTACAGTAATACTGAGACACAAAAACCAAAACATTATGTAATTATCATTGTATTGTCTACTTTTCATCCATTTCTGTTTAACTTTATTAAAATCATGATCTTCAGCCAAACATTTGCTACATGTAGGTTTAGAACTTGGTAAAAATCATTCCAAGTACTAGAGACCACAGTGAAATGGACAAGCATTATGTAAGTTAAATTTTCTGTGGCATGTTCTGCTTCCTTGCTCACATAAATACCTGGCCTGTCCCAACCAATTAAAATTCACAGTTCTCCTTGAGATAAAGAACAATTATTAAAAACTTAAATTCTAACCAACTTAATTTACCAAGATCTAAAGTGGACGTGGAATCAGTCATCTGTTCGCTCTGCAACAAAATATGGACGGAGGAGAAAGTACCAGAAGAATGGACCCTTGGTATCATAATCAAGTTACCAAAGAAAGGTGATCTAAACAATTGTTCAAATTGGAGGGGAGTAACACTTCTATCGGTCACAGGAAAAGTATTAGCAGCAGTCCCCCTGAGAGAACGAAAGGAAAGATGGATACCATCCTACATGAACAACAATCTGGATTTAGACAAGGGAGATCGTGCACAGATGCTATTTTCACCTGAGACGGATTACTGAGAACACAACTGAATTCCAAGGCAGTCTTGCCATCAATTCTGTGGACTTTCAAAAGGCATTCGATAGTGTAAATAGAGAAACAATGTGGAAAATTGTGGAACAATATGGAATTCCAACAAAATTAATTATTATGAAGGCATTCTACGCCAATTCAAAATGCTGCCTTAAAATTGAAAATGGATTGAGTAAACTATTCAGCATCAAGGCAGATGTAAGGCAGGGGTGCGTCCTGTCTCCTTTTTTGTTTATGCTAGTCATTGACTATGGATTAAAACAATGCGACAGTGATACATATGGCCTAAAATGGAACAATTCAAGGCTATCTGATCTAGACTTTGCTGACGACATTGTTCTCATCAATGAAGATGCCAACGGACTACAAAAATGCACAAACCAAGTAAATGAGGTAATGGAGAAAATGGGTTTGAGATACAATGCAAAGAAGAGAAACTGGAGAAGGTGGACAATTTTACATATCAGCCAAGATGGTACTAGTTCCAAGGAAATAAGAAGAAGAATCGGGAAGGCAAACGCTGCATTTGGAAGACTTGAAAACATCTGGCAACTCAAAACATCTCACTCAAGACAAAACTGAATGCGTACAAAGCAATTGTTATTGCCATCACAACATATAGCAGTGAGACATGGCAACTTACCAAGAAAGATATGCAAAAGCTGGATATATTTAATCACAAATGTCTGAGAAGAATATTGGGAATAACATAGATATAGGAAGACAAATGAAGAAGTCAGAAAAATTACTTGCCAGGGCGCCCTCTCACAAATAATCTACAAAAGAAGACTTCAGTAGCTGGGACATGTGCTGAGAATGGAAAAAGAATGCATACCAAATACCGGCCTTGAATGGAAGTCAGAAAGAGAGGAAGACCATGAATAACATGGAAACGAACAGTTGTGAACGACATCAAGCACCTCAATATGAAATGGGAAGATTTGGAGAGAAGGGCAGTTGACAGGCAAGATGGCAAATGTGGGTAGCCCAATGTGCAGAAAAGCACGGAATGGACTAAGGTCTAAGGTAAGGAAAGTGGTCACAAGCTTGGATTTTTGCAGGTTGTTTTCATTTTATATTATTGGAACTTTTTAAAAATAAAACAAAGATTTCTTGCTTTATAATCAGATAGCTTAAAATTGAACAAAATCACAACAAACCTTTCATTTACCTCTTTTTGCAAGATTTCTTCTCGCGTTTGTGAAACTGCAAGGGCCTCCTGATCTCTGTGCAGCTCATTAACTTGCTCTTGTAGATGTTTTATTAAGATCTAAGGAAATATTTTAAATATTCCTCATTAACACTGACAGATTTTAAAACCTTCAAAGTAATACATAAAATCAATTCTTGAATCTTAGAATTAAAATATATGAAAGCATTTCTTGAATCTTATTAATAGTAATTGTATTGTACATTATACTAGACAAAAGCCAATACTGATGCAGTTAATTGGTCGTGTACTGGATTTGAATTTAAAATATTTCCATCATATCATATCTTTATGCCCCGTATATTCTCTCTACATTTTTATTATGTAATATACACCTCTACCTCGATATAACGCTGTCCTCGAGAGCCAAAAAATCTTACCACGTTATAGGTGAAACCGCGTTATATCAAACTTGCTTTGATCCACCGGAGTGCGTAACCCCGCCCCCCCCAGAGCACTGCTTTACCGCGTTACATCCGAATTCGTGTTATATCGGGTCGCATTATATCGGGGTAGAGGTGTACATATATTATTTGTTGAGAAAGTCCCATTTCTGAAAGAATATGACCTATTTTAAAAATATTTAATTTCTAAATCACCACAAATTTTGCCCATTTTCTGTTAAAATCATAGTTAACTCTTAACATTCATTAGGATCATAGGTGTATAACTGTTTTATTTTACTTCTTGTCTTGAAATTTTGCTATTTAGTTCAGCTACTTTAGAAGCAGAATGTTCCACTGCATGCTGACAAAGAATTTTCTCTACTTCTCTCTGATGAGATGCTCTTAGAGCTGCAATGTATTCTGCTGTATCGTCCTTTGTCCTGTAAAAGAAAGCTATGCTTATAGCTGTTCCCCAAAATTGCACCAACATAATTATATATGCTTATACATTTAAAATAATTAAATTATAGGCCCCATAACTTCAAAATTGCACACACTTCATTTCTTAGAAGTTGCAAAGATGCTATATGCAAACACCATGTGTGTGCAATTACTCCAACTGCACCCACAATTTTGGTAACTGTGTACGAAATTATGCATGTGTCTAATTTTGAAGATTTGGGCCATAAATATTAGTATTACACTATTAGATGAAAAGACAAAGGCATCCAAGCTGCAACAATTTATATTAAATAACCTTGTTCTTACTCAAAGCCATGACAAATTCTAGATTTGTTAAAATGCACTCATCTGGACCTGCCTGAGGGCTTAATAGCAGTGATATACTACATAAAAGACCTAAGTCCTCTTCTCAGCGTATTGTTCCTAAATGAGGGTAAGGACTTATGGAAGTGATTGCCTCACATTCTCGTCCATTCAAAAGCATCAATTTTATCCAGTCATCTATGACCAGAAAGATGCCAATTAGTGCCAATTTAGGTGGCAATTTTTGTGACATGTACACACTTGACTATGAATGTGTGTACAGAAACCACCAACTAAGTTAGATGGTAGCATGAGAAGGTAGCAGCTTTTAGGTCATTACTAATGTGATCTGGATTCATACATGTGATCTATTTGTCAAAAGGCACTGTATCATTACTGATCTCCCGCCAAGACTCCAATGTTTTAATAAATGCATGAAATGACTGTTTTACCTTCGTATGTTACTTTCAGAATGAGCCAGTGCTGCTTGAGACTTCACTCTCTGCTGGCTCATTTCTAGAGACAGTCTTTCTAGCTCATCTTTTAACCTGGCATTTTCTTGCAGAACTTCTGAAATATGGGAATCGGCAAAGTTATGTGGCTGGTATATTTTATCATCAAGAGTGTCTGGGAAGGGTTCACTGGTGCTGGCATTCCTTTTACTTGTTGCTAAAATATCCTTTTTCAAAATTTCTGTAGACTTCTCCTTATCACTTGAGTTATGATTTGACAACATCGTCGTCCTCTCTTTTTGAAGTCTCTCCACAGTTTTTGTTAGGTCTTGTATCTCTCTACTTTTGGTGATTAATTCTTGATTTAGTCTTACCAACCTGGCTTTAGCATGAGCTTGTTCCACTTGGTATTCTATCGTTTGTAAGTCTTCATCATCTCTTTCACATTTTTTGAGTTTTAACTGGGAGTTTTGATTTTTAAGATTTTCAATTTCTGTTTGAAGATTTTTTACTGTGATCTGATGGTTCTCCTTTAGACTACGAAGTTCTTGCTCAATTGCTGTAAAGCTGGCTTTGCTGTCATGCAGTTTTTGTGGTTCATTCATCAATTTATAGGCAAGGAGTTCTTCAAGCTCTACAAGTCTTTGCTCATACTGAAGCTGGAAAAAAAAGAGCAATTTACAGAGTTGCACATCTATTACTCCCTCTTTTTTGTATAAATTAAGGGATTAAGCACCTTATGTAAATGTTTAACACATTATATACAACAAAACCAGCAATATTTACAATACTATGAATTAGGTAGTTCAGAAAGCAGCCTCTTGAATGCAATAACTTATTAAGACTACCTGCAACAAAAAAGCACAGTATATCAGCAAACTAAGGAACTATTCTTAGTAAAGCTAGATGGGCACCTTATAACAGTCAGAAAGAGAATAAATAATTAAAGCCAATTATTGGGAAAATGAGTGTTTCCCATTGTATTATTGTGCTGGATTATTCTATTCAGCTATCAGTCTGAACAGACAAATTAACATTCCATTCTCAGTTTAACATTAAGAGCACGTTGGCTCACTAAGAAATTCAGAGTGTTTCATATTTTTGTTAAACATAGCATTTCAACTGTTGCAAAGTGGAAATTAGCATCATGGACCAGAATGTACAAATAGAACAAAACAGATGGTCCCTGCCATCTGGGTGTATATGGGGCAATCAAGATAATTAAACCCTGGTCTCTTTTGAGCTCTGTCAGGACATTCTGTTCCAGAGGTACTAGTAGATAGATACATAAGGAAGCTTCCTCGCAATTGGATGGAGAAGGCAAACCTTAGCAATGTATCTTCTTCTCCTGGTGTCATGAGCAGAAGACTGGTAATTTCTCATTCAAGTGAGTGCCAGGGTTTACTCAAAAGGGGCCTATCTCCAACTGATTCAGTCTTTCCAAGATCATGTTCTCCTTCCCTTCTACGTAAGCAGCGACCAAAACTGGTCTTGTGGGACAAAGCCCACTGCCATACTGACAGGACTTCCAAACACAGGATTTCAGATCTGGTGCCAAGATCCTGGCAGAAGTATATGTTTTCCTGGGCAATGGCAACTTAGCACCTACTTGTCATGCTGCAGATCAGAGCCCAGGACAATTTCTGCAGGAATCTCCAGTCCACAAACCCCCAACATAACAATTCTGTTTCCTGGACATCCATGAAGAAAAAAGTGGGGGGCACGGGTTCCAGCTCAACATGCAGAAAAGACTGCAATTTGTAAGTGGACTATGCTGTTGCAGCCTGCATTTATTTCGCTTGTGTGTGCAGCTCAGTATGTGTGCACCTCCTCTCTGTATCCTGTAGGACCAAGTCCCCTTCCTCTATTTATGAAAGGTTTTTTAAGAAGACCCAAGCAATCTCTCCTGAAAGTTTAATTCCTCCTCTGTCAGTTTCAAAATGCTTTTACGTGACTATATTTAAATGCCCAAAGCTTTGAAATTTCTGCCCCCAAAATCTTTTTCAATATTCTTCTCCCCAAACGTTATGCTACTACCTTAGAGACAGATACCCTTACATTCAGTAGAACCTCTCTTCACTACTTGTGGAATAAGCTGCAACTCAACATGCATAAGGGCCTGATGCTGATAGCCTTAAGTTAGTTACCTTTATTTTTTGAAACTGTTGTTCCATAGCACGTAGACTTTTTTTAGCTTCATCATCTTTACCCTCAAGTTCTGTTTCTAACTTTTTTATTCTTCTTTCCAGGAAATCAATTGTATTGGATTTAGCTGAAATGTCACCACCTCCCTCAGATGCTGCAGCAGCAGCATATATCAAAGCAGGCAAAGAATTTGGATGCCTTCTTTTTAGAATTGTTTCCATTTCTTTAATCTGTCAAAAAAACCAAAACTCGTTAAATAGAGATTTGATTAAAAAAAATTGTGATTTTCCCTGTCAATAAGAACATAAGAATGGCCATAGTAGAACAGACCCATGGTCTATCTTGCCCGAGTATCTTCCAACAATGGCCAGTGCCAGATGCTTCAGAGGGAATGAACAGAAAGGTACAATTATTGAGTGATCCATCCCCTGTCATCCAGTCCCAGTTTAGGTGCACTCAGAGCATGGGGTTGCATCCCTGACCACGTTGGCTAATAGTTATTGATGGCCCTATTCTCCATGAATTTAGCTAATTCTTTTTTGAACCCAGTAATACATTTGGCCTTCACAACATCCCTTGGTAACTAGCCCCACAGGTTGACTTTGCACTGTGTGAAGAAGTACTTCCTTATATTTGTTTTAAACCTGCTGCCTATTAATTTCGTTGGGTGTCCCTCTGGTTCTTGTATTACGTGAGGAGGTAAATAGCACTTCCTTGTTCACTTTCTCCACATCACTCATGATTTTATAAACCTCTATCATATCCCACTTTTTAAATCTCTCTTTGCATGGAGGCTGTTCTATACCATTTTTGTTGCCCTTCTTTATACTTTTTCCAGTACTAATATCTTTTTTGATGAGGCATCCAGAACTGCAAGCAGTATTCGACTAGTGGGTGTACCATGGATTTCTATATTATATATTTTCTGTCTTTTTATCTATCCCTTTTTTAATGGTTTCTAAGAGGAAGTTTCTTACCTGTGACTGGAGGTTCTTTGAGATGTGTGGTCCCTATCTGAAGTCCACTGAGGGTTATACGCATGTGCCATGTGTCTGGAGATTTTGAAAGTAGTAGTGTCTGTTGGTCCACGTGTGCATGCTTGCTGCACGTCATGGATTCATGTGAGGCAAGTAAGGGTGGGGCGGATCAGCCGCGCCCTCAGTTCCTTCACCACCACAAATCAAATAGATCTGCAGTAAACGGGAAGGAGGGTGGGACTGCAATACAAATAGGGACCACATATCTTGAAGCAACTCCAATTACAGGTAAGAAGCCTCCTCCTGTTCTTCTTTGAGTGATGATACCTATTGTATTCCACTGAGGGTAATTAACATGCAGTACCTAGTTAGGAGAAGGGTGCGAAGAAGATGATGGAACTGTGCAATACTGGATGTGACTTCCAATTCAGTAGGATTTGATTTCCAACTTTTAAAGGATGTCTTTTTGTATCTAACTGCCTCTTTTACTCTGTTTAGCCATGGTGGCATTTTTTGGTCCTCTTACTGTTTTTTTTAAATTTGAGGTATACATTTAGTTTGAGCCTCTGTTATGGTGTTTTTAAAAAAGTTTCCTCGCTGCTTGCAGGCATTTCAATCTTGTGACTTCCTTTTAATTTCCATTTAACTAGCTTCCTCATTTTTGCGTAGTTTCCCTTTTTGAAGTTAAATGCTACTGTGGTGGGTTTCTTTGGTATTCTCCACCTTACAAGGATGTTAAATTTAATTACATTATGGTTGCTATTACTATGTAGTTCAGCTAGATTCACCTCTTGGACCAGATCAGGTGTGCCACTACGGACTAAAACAAGGATTTCCTCTCCCTTTGGGGATTCCAGGACTAGTGGCTCCAGGAACCCATGAGTTTGAACTTCTATTGTAATAAGACTCTGCCCGCAACTCCTCCTTGGGTGTTTACTAACATGAATATTTAGACCCCCAGAGACAGTGAAACTTCCCTACCTCCCTCAGGCTAGGTCTATACTACCCGCCTGAATCGGCGGGTAGAAATCGACCTCTCGGGGATCGATTTATCGCGTCCCGTTGGGACGCGACAATCGATCCCCGAATCGGCGCTCTAACTCCACCAGCGGAGGTGGTAGTAAGCGCCGCCGACAAAAAGCCGCAGAAGTCGATTTTGCCGCCGTCCTCACAACGGGGTAAGTCGGCTGCGATACGTCGAATTCAGCTACGCTATTCACGTAGCTGAATTTGCGTATCTTAAATCGACTCCCCCCTGTAGTGTAGATGTACCCTCAGAGTCTAACAAAAATGAATAGTCCTTCTGTAGAGAAGAAACTGCCAGCTGGTGTGCTGGGACTGCCCTCAAACTGTGCTCTGGATGAAAGTGTTGATATACTTGGTTCTGGTATAGGAGCAGTGGTTGGTACTTGGGGTTAAGCTCCTTCACTAAGGCTAATAGAGGGGTGTCCAGTATGAAAGAGACCAGTAGGTCTTTTGACATCACACAGGACTTTGGTACGGAATACACTGGTACTGAAGATAGATGAGTAGATAACATTGGTACCAGGGAAGACAATGGTACTGGGGTCCTTAGTGGTGAGAGGTTGGGACAGCAGACCCATTTTGGGCCTTGGGCTACTCTGTCTCAGGCTTGAGAAGATTTATGACTTGACCTAGAACTCGTCCACCTGTGGGCTCTTTCCTCCCTCAGTCCCCTGAAATTTTACCAAACAAGGACATTGGATCTTTAGGAGTAGGAACTTCAGGTCCACATGTGGAGCACTTTTAGATGATGGGTGCTCAGAGGTTTGTGCCCCAGACATCCCAGGATCTGAAGCGGGATGCATTATCCTCTCCAAAAGGAACATTTTCCAACAGGACTCCCTAGCTTTCTGGGTTCTCCTAGAAACTGATTTACAGAAGGCACATCTCTCTCCTTCTAATGTGCTCCTCACTCAAACACAACTAGTACTTAGTATGCAAGCAACTGAATCATTAAGAGAAAGTCTGGCCTCACAAAAAGGGCAATTTTTAAAGCCTGGAGATTTATGTTCAGTCACAGGGTATTGTCATCACTAAAAAGTTTACATCAGCACCTGGGTCTGAGCACCCCAGTTAGCCCAGCATGGCTGTGAACAGCCACACTAAAGCCATATCTGAATTACCATGTCCTCAGTGGTGCTTCACTCACTCAGGTAAGTTGCTATGACTTCTGGACGCATATTGCATAGTTCTTTGTGCTTCAGTAAACTGAGCTACTCTCCAATTCTTTCTCAGTGAATTGTGGGAGAACTTGACTATCCTCTGGGCACAAAGGGGGGATTCTGAGAAGGCACTAGAGGAGTATCAGAACTTGAGTGGTCTAGCTGGTGTCCTCATTACAAAGTGGGCAGGTTCCCAGACCAAGTGAAAGCAGCACCCAAGCTCCAGCCTAGTGGTTCCAAACCAGGGGTATATGTACCACTGGGAGCACGCAAGTGTTCCAGGGGGTACATCAATTCATCTCGACATTTCCTAGTTTACAACAGGCTACATAAAAAGCACTAGTGAAGTCTGAAGCACCTGGCATTGGCCACTGCCGGAAGACAGGATACTGGACTAGATGGATCACTGGTCACACCCAGTATGGCTATTCTTAAGTCAGTACAAACTAAAATTTCATACAGACAATGACTTGTTTATGCTGCTCTATATACTATACACTGAAATGCAAGTACAATATTTATATTCCAGTTGATTTATTTTAAAATTATATGGTAAAAATGAGAATATTACTGAAAAATGGCTCAGTGTGTTGTGATACTTTTGTATGTTTGTGTCTGATTTTGTAAGCAACTGGTTTTTAAGCTAAGTGAAACTTGGGGTATGAAAGATAATCAGACTTCTGAAAGAGATACAGTAGTCTGAAAAGGTTGAGAGCCACTTCTAGCCTATTCCCCTATCTATTCCCCTATCTAGGCCAGACAGATTGGGTTTAAAGCACCATCAAATGCAGGTAAATGTATTTTGTGTGTGGACAAAAAGGGATAACACCGAAGTAAGAACCTAAAGGCATGTCTGCATTAGTGAGCTTACAGTGGCACAGCTGCACTGGTACAGCTGTGCTGCTGTAAGATCACTTGTGTAGCTCCTCTATACCGGCGGGAGAGAGCTCTCCTGTCAACATAATAAAACCACCTCCACGAGCAGTTGTAGCTATGTCGGTGGGAGAGCTTCTCCCACGGACACAGCACTTCTGTCACTCGGGGGGAGGAGGGGAATTTTTCATGCCCCTGAGCGACATAAGTTATACCAACAAAAGTGGTAGTATAAACATGGCCTAAGTTAACTCTGCAGTGAAGAGATAGTCTTGGTACCTGGATAAGCCACTAGCCCTGAGGCAAAAACAACCACCAAGTTTCCTTCTAAAGGGAAGAAAGGAAACACTATACAAAATCTCTAACATTAATTATTAACTATTAAGTACCTATCTATAACTAACTATTTACATAAGAAGAGGTCACATGAACACTGCAAATTCCAAATTGTAGCCAGATAAGGAATTGCCAAAGTTGGGCTCTGCCCTACCCCTTTATGCCTTCAGTTGGTGGCATAAGGACACACAGGGTACAAACAGTGGCTACCAGCAGACACTGTGGGGCACTGGTTCCATGTACACCATCAGTGGAATATATACAGAGAAGCAGTTGAAGGAAAACATTTCACAGACATTACCACCAGTATACTTTCAACCCTTAACATTTATATCTAGAGGAAAATGCTACAGGATAAATTTTCATTAAAAAAATATAATTACATTTCTGTGATCAACAGTCAGACATTGATCATATAAAAAAAGCAGTTTCCTGGATTTTGAATTAAAAATCTCTTATTTCTTACTTTATTATCATTCATTTAAAAAAGATGAAGGTGGCAATTTGCTGGGGGAAGATTTGTAAAGAGGACACAAGGGCTTTTATTGGAATGTTTAAAAAGTTATAGAGGTACATGTGCACGCAGGCATGCACCACCACCCCACCCCAACACAAGAACAGGGATTTGTTTTAGATTCTGAAATATTCAGCTGCATTGTGGGTTTAGTAGTTTGATTTAAACAATCTTTTCCTAGGATGCCTTCTGATTTAAATGGGTTATTCTTTATACTCCGATTATTTTAGATAGAGAAGGACACTACTTCAGTGCACCCTCCATTTGCTTTTTGATGCTTTGGAATTTCAGGGCCATATAAAACAAAATATTCATGGCTTTCTGGGCTCTTTTTCCTTTTCTCTCCTGTCCTATTCGCCAACTAATACTTGATTCTACCGTGATCTCAATGTTAGTCATATGATATCCAAATCATTCTCCGAGCAACAGACTAATGCCATTATTATTTCACTGTAGGCCCCAGAACTTTCATCCTGGATGTGAGGGGAAGAAAATATTCAAACAAAAACTTTACACATGGAAATAAGAATTCAGAAATGTACTGATAAAGTTAGTTGCTGCTTGAAATACTATTACTTTTAGGGTTTGTCCCATCATGAGAACACTTTCTCATAAATGAATTAATATTTGTAATGTCAAGATAAGACAGTTCCATAAGGACAAAAAATGTTTACTTTATTATGGGACTTTTCCAATACCGCATAGTTTAATCTTGATATTTCTGCCAAGATCTCTCAACAGCAATTAACATTATTGCATTTTTCACAAGCTATGAAACACTGAGAAAAGTAATGTTATTACATACTTGTCGCTCAAGATCTTGAATTTTTTTTGCATCTGCCGCTCTGTCCTTTAAACGTTTCTTCTGTTGCACAGACTGATTCCCAGCTTCAGTTCTGAGATTATCAACCTATCCAGCATATTCAGTGGTACATTACAAAAAGTATATGCAACTTCATTAGCACAGTTGAAAATATTTGTAATTATTTCAAATTAACTATAATGAAAGAGTTCCATATTTGAACAAGACTAGTGCAGAAGTTTATCCTAGTTATCAGTATGGTTTGTCTGATAGAAGTCTATGGGCTATGTTCTCATGGTGGGCTATGGCCTCTTTGTGCCAGATAGGGGTAACGGAACTGTAACCTAGCTGCAGAGATCTAGCAGAGAATTCCCTTATGAAGGGAACTCCCTGCAAGCAAATCTCTGCCAGGTCTGTGTCCTGAGCCTCTGCCCCCCACTCTCTTGACATGGTAGGATGGGGAGGTGGGATGGTAGAGCTAAGCTATGTCTTCCACTGATGTATGATCAGTTAAGGGCACAATTTAAGCATCCACAACTTTGCATTCAGTGATGCAATTTAGAGATGCCCAGCAGCAGCTCTAAATTATATCTAAGATGAGCTGGCCCTGAGGTTCAGGGAGCCAGAACCAGGTACCTTTTTCTTCCATGACAAAGCAAAGCTCTGTCACAGGAGAAAATTTGGCCATCAAGGTTCAAGTCTAATATCTGGAGCTCCCACCTAATATTAATATTGCAATGTATTGCTAAAGAGATATTGGATTGTTACATGAACACACATTCCCATTATCTACTGCATCAGTAGTGGATGTTATTTTAAAAACATGGGTAATAACGCTTCATTGTAAAGTTTAACCTTTGATACACAAAACTGTTCACCCGATTGAGAGAGCAATCTCATGGTGTTTCTCAAACCTATGAAAATGAGCCTACCTTGAGGAATATGAAACCAGTCATGACAGCTCCTCCCCACCCACCATGTGTTGTTAAAGGCCTACATAGATCTTAATTTACATACTTGCAACCTCTTCCCACACTTTGGGATGTTTATCATACAATACTTCCTCTGTTTTCTACATGCATTCATAAGCTGGGAAAGAGTATCACTGGCATCTGAATTAGCATCCATTGACATAAATGGGGTAGTTCACACTCACAGAAATTGTGAGCTATAGCCCACGAAAGCTTATGCTGAAATAAATTTGTTAGTCTCTAAGGTGCCACAAGTACTCCAGTTCTTTTTGCAGATACAGACTAACACGGCTGCTACTTTGTAACCAGACATTGTTTCAGGTCCTCTGCATTGGTTTAACTTGTTTCATGTTTCGAATGGTTTTCTTTTCAACCATTACAGCTAGAGATTTATTTTTCTTTCAAGAAAATAAAGCTTCCTCTGACTCTGGAGAATGATTCAGAAGCCTGTCTATGTCCCCTACAGCTATTTCCTTCAGCCTCTGAGGCATGCATGCCACGCACTTTGGGATAACACTACTTTAACCACTACAGCATGGTATGTTTTTTAAATGTTAGTGTAATAACGTAACTGCTACCTGGTAGTCTTAGTCAATAGATTTGCATGGCCTAAAGAACTATCAATTTAGAATTATTTCCAGAAATGCCATTGAAGTGCCAAATGCAAATAAAAACAGCTTTAAGCTCTCACACATCTAAATTCTCCATTTCATACATAATAAATGTACATTCTGCATATCAGGCCCTCAGTATTTAAGTAAAATTTTGATGTATTCCATTACTGCATTTAGAATATGATAGATAACATATACTAAAGAACCAAGTTGCATTCTATGGACACTATTTCTATAAATACTAATTCACAAAATAAACCTTGAACTGTTGTGATCACCTGTAGTTTCAATTTCTCAATTTCTTCTTTTGCATCTTTAAGACGAATTGCATCTCTATCCAAAAGCTCCTGATTTTCTGCATACCACTGCAGTCTCTTTTTCAAAAGACTGATTTCCTGTTTGTATGATTCTTCTATAATCTTTATCTCATAAGATTTTTCACCTAGAAGGCAAAAATTCTTGATTTAATATACTCCTCTTAGATATCTGCAACAAAGCTACCAGTCAGATATTGCATCATTCTCAGATACATTTCAGCACTTTGCCATTACTTTTTCTTTACTAAAATTTAAAGGTGTGACTCAAATTAAGTTTTCAAATATAAGAGCATTTCAAAAGCCTTTATATCACATTTATTTAAGCCCTTCTGTATTACAAATAATTAAGTTTTATACATTTATTTAATGAAACAAAGGTAAGGAGCAATTATCCAATTATTAATTGGAATGAGAGCCTCCACAAATGAGTACTTTACCTGAAGTAGAAACAATTTGGGCTCTTGCCAAATCTCTCTCTCTCCTCATTTGTCCCAAATCTACTTCAAGAGCTTGTTTGTCTTGCTTAAGCTGTTTTATCTCTTCCAGCAATTTGGCTTCTTCCTTCTTAATTTTCACAGAAAACATGTAAAGAAAAATAAACCCACAGAACATATGTTTTATACCAAAAAAAAAAAAAAAAAAAAAAAAAAAAGGGTTTTTTC